TTCGACCTCTGCCGCCGTAGCAACTGTTTCGCACAAGAACATACAACGTCAGCTGTTGGATGAGTGAAGGAATGAATCGATCGGAGAGGTGTATACAGGCGACCACCGAAGACCTCCTTTGGTCCGAATAGGCGTTAACGTAGCAAAAAGTAGACGAAGATTAACTTTTGTACCAAAAAGAGGTCTAAAACTTGAAACTTGTGTAAATGAGTCGTGAGGAAATATATCCTCTAAGCTTTACTTGTACAGTTATTTAAATCAAAACCTTCGCCTATATTTTTGGTCTAACAAAACCTTTGGTGCAGAATGAAATGGAAAACAAAATGTGGTGACAATTTTCAATGAGAAGTAGCACCAATTTTTTGTCCAAATTAAGGTTTTGCTCTTAGTAGTCATTGACATTTTCTTTGAAAAGGAAATCTTCTGCAACGTTTAATGGGCGCATATCTTTACTAATGGATTTATTTCATTCCTCCCAAACAAGGCGAAAATGAACTTTTCTATCACTTTTGTTACAACAATTCCTTTTCATGATCCCAACCTGAAAATCCCATTTACATCCCTCAACTTCAAGGCAGGACAGAGTAAAGTTTCTCCAGCAGTCTCAGCGCAAGAGGACTCCGGTGTAGTTGGGATTTTTTTCATTGATTTTGTCCCCCACCCACGAGAAACCGTCCACGGAGGAATTCCCTGGAGGAATGCCAGCTTAAGAGAAGATGCACGCTTCATCAAATATTTACCATTCCGAGTGCTCAACACGAAGGCGGACACACTTTTAGTTATTAAAAGCTCTGCAAAAGAACCAATCGCAGTTATCGTGAAAATTCGCTTTCACCGTTTCACCAATACGATGAAACATATTCGCGACTTCAACAGAGAATTGCATGCTAAGGCCCATTTTCGCCTTGTTCTCTTGGATCAGCCGTGTTTGTGCCACCAAAGTGCCATTAAATTTAAAACAAAATCATTTGTCCCTGTTAAGTGTTTGTCACACTGAACATGAATATAAAAAAAATTGAACCTTTAGTAGTAGTTCTGCAGTTGAGCCTTTTAAAACCCTTAAAACTTGCAAACATTTTGCTTTAGGGGTTCATTGACCCGACCGTTGTGGGCAAAACTTAACCAAGAAATTGTTCATTGATGTCGGAGGTGGACTTTTATTCAAAAAGTGAGAGCCTCCGAAAGCCTTGCAAAATGCAGAAGCCGTTTTTACTGGTCACCGCCTTCGAGACGGTAGTACTATCCATTTTGAAAACGAATGTATTTATAAAAAATCAGAACAAGTGCCCAAGAATTGTCATTCCTTTTACCTTGCCTAGTAATTAGAGGTCCGGAGTCCAAAATAAACCTGTAATTTTCCCTTCCCAAAAGGGTTGGGTGGAGAGGTGGGGTGAGGGATGCTGTGTGCCCTGCTTCTCCGCCCTTCCCTCACTTGCGCGCTTACACTTCATGCATAATTGAGGGCAGCAGTGGTGACTTACTCCTCCCGTCCCTTTTGCCCACTGTCTCGTTTGAGACACTTGTAAAGCTGCTCATCTCAGGCCTTAAACGAAAAGTGCTTCTTTAATTTGAGTTA